TTTTTGTGCGATATATTTAATTATGCAGTGTATTTGTTTTTGATTTACACCAAGACCTATAAATGCCACTTACTTACTTTTTCTCAAGTATATCATGTACGGAAATTGTGTGTCTACGGGTAGCTGTAATCTTCGAAGATACATTATGTAAACCAAACTATACTTCAGCTATTTTAACGTACCGAACGAATCATGCATTACACTGATTCATGGGCTCAACCATCTTTCGTCTGTAACTGTTGTAAATGCCGTTTTCTCAAAGACATTTCCGCTGTACATATTCCGCGAAGCTTCCTCTATCAAGCACAGGTAAATTACGGTGAGCGTAAGCGAGACTGTGCGGACCCAGTCGCGATGACGCGCGAGGACAACCGACCTTGATGCATCACCGAGGATCTATCATCGCGATCCCTGATGACTGATCAAGCGACGAGAATCATCGCGGGTTGCGATGATGCCGTTACCAAGATCCCTGATGGGGTTTTTGGGTGATCGGTCGCGGTGATTGAACGCTTAAACGAATTCCTTGACACGATGACATCGCGAATTATTCGTAACGACTATGACGTGTACTGTACATCACTATGTACACGTAGGAGGGCCGTCTCAGTAGAGTGTCCCATGCGGTAGGCCGATTGCATGTTGTCATGGAGACTGTTTGCATGGAGATGAACCTCTAAACGCCGGGACACAACCTTCTCGAAGATCTTAGACAGAAAAGGCAGATTTGAAACTGGGCGGTAGTTTTTCAACTCCTCCTTGGCTATTCCAGGCTGTTTTAACAATGGTCTGACATGTGCCTTCTTGAAACATAATGGAACCTTTGACTCAACCAATGATTTATTCATGATTGCGGTAATCAAAGGAAGCAGTGCTTCAAGACATTGCTTTAATAGGTCTGTAGGCAGTGGATCAAGCTCACAGGACTTGGATTGCGAACAGTTATAAGTCATTAGTGGACAGTTATCAGTGAGCCATTCCTTAGTGGACAGTTATCAGTGAGCCATTCCTTAGTGGTCAGTTATCAGTGAGCCATTCCTTAGTGGACAGTTATCAGTAAGCCATTCCTAAGTGGTCAGTTATCAGTGAGACATTCCTTAGTGGACAGTTATCAGTAAGCCATTCCTTAGTGGACAGTTATCAGTGGGCCATTCCTTAGTGGTCAGTTATCAGTGAGCAATTCCTTAGTGGACAGTTATCAGTAAGCCATTCCTTAGTGGACAGTTATCAGTGAGCCATACCTCAGCGGACAGTTATCAGTGAGCCATTCCTTAGTGGACAGTTATCAGTGAGCCATTCCTTAGTGTACAGTTATCAGTGAGCCATTCCTTAGTGGACAGTTATCAGTGAGACATTCCTTAGTGGTCAGTTATCAGTGAGCAATTCCTTAGTGGACAGTTATCAGTGAGACATTCCTTAGTGGTCAGTTATCAGTGAGCAATTCCTTATTGGACAGTTATCAGTAAGCTATTCCTTAGTGGACAGTTATCAGTGAGCCATTCCTCAGCGGACAGTTATCAGTAAGCCATTCCTTAGTGGACAGGTATCAGTGAGCCATTCCTTAGTGTACAGTTACCAGTAAGCCATTCATTAGTGGACAGTTATCAGTGAGACATTCCTTAGTGGTCAGTTATCATTGAGCAATTCCTTAGTGGACAGTTATCAGTAAGCTATTCCTTAGTGGTCAGTTATCAGTAAGCCATTCCTTAGTGGTCAGTTATTAATAGGCCATTCCTTAGAGGTCAGTTATCAGTGAGCCATTCCTTAGTGGCCAGTTATCAGTAAGCCATTCCTTAGTGGACAGTTATCAGTAAGTCATTCCTTAGTGGTCAGTTATTAATAGGCCATTCCTTAGAGGTCAGTTATCAGTGAGCCATTCCTTAGTGGCCAGTTATCAGCGAGCCATACCTCAGCGGACAGTTATCAGTAATCCATTCCTTAGTGGACAGTTATCAGTGAGCCATTCCTTAGTGGACAGTTATCAGTAAGCCATTCATTAGTGGACAGTTATCAGTGAGCCATTCCTTAGTTGACAGTTATCAGTAAACCATTCCTTAGTGGACAGTTATCAGTGAGCTATTCCTTAGTGGACAGTTATCAGTGAGCTATTCCTTAGTGGACAGTTATTAGTGAGCTATTCCTTAGTGGACAGTTATTAGTGAGCCCTTCCTTAGTGGACAGTTATCAGTGAGCTATTCCTTAGTGGACAGTTATCAGTAAGCTATTCCTTAGTGGTCAGTTATCAGTAAGCCATTCCTTAGTGGTCAGTTATCAGTAAGCCATTCCTTAGTGAACAGTTATCAGTAAGTCATTCCTTAGTGAACAGTTATCAGTGAGCTATTCCTTAGTGGACAGTTATCAGTGAGCTATTCCTTAGTGGACAGTTATCAGTGAGCTATTCCTTAGTGGACAGTTATCAGTAAGCCATTCATTAGTGGACAGTTATCTGTGAGCCATTCCTTAGTGGACAGTTATCAGTGAGCCATTCCTTAGTGGTCAGTTATCAGTGAGCCATTCCTTAGTGGACAGTTATCAGTAAGCCATTCCTTAGTGGACAGTTATCAGTAAGCCATTCCTCAGTGGACAGTTATCAGTAAGCCATTCATTAGTGGACAGTTATCAATGAGCCATTTCTTAGTGGACAGTTATCAGTGAGCCATTCCTTAGTGGACAGTTATCAGTGAGACATTCCTTAGTGGACAGTTATCAGTGAGACATTCCTTTCGGTCTTTTTGTAAGACACTGGACTTTCATGGTAACAATTACGATTCCTTAGGAAATACGCTATTGGCTTTTAAGGCATGAAGGTCGATGCTTATAAGCGTGCTTTGTATTTTTCTTTTTTCTTTTGTCACTACCATTGGTCTTGGTATGAGGACGTGACGTGACATTACTTTGATTCGCCTGATATTATCATTGCTGGTGTCGTCGATGAAGCAGAATAAGCTGACACTGTAAATATTTGTTAGGTTTAAATTATGTCCTAGTCTTATAGATTTTGGTTCGAATAACTGTTTTTTGACACTTGGGAATGTTCTTGTTTTCTCACTGCAGTGACGATATAGAATTTCAACATTTAAGCTAACGAAGCTGCACGTGAAACGTAGAGTGAAATGGGCATTGTTGACCTCATCAAGAAGAAGGCTAAAGGACAAGCTTTAACGGAAGATGAGATAGCCCGCTTTGTTGAAGGAATCGTTGACGGTACAGTGTCGGAGGCACAAATTGGTAATTACCGATACTACTAACATTTTTATCTGCAAGAAAATAGAAATTGAAGTCGTTTAATTGTACATAATTCAATAAATATAGATTGTTTACTGTTTACGTGCTGTAAATACCGTTTTACCTATATATACACTAAGATCAACGAAGCACGTGCAAAATGTATTACATATATATATGTGTGAAAAGGTTGCCTTTGAACAATTGTTATACAATCTCTGTAAAGCGTCTTACATTCATGCTTCTACAATAAAATGTAGTTACATGTAAATAGGGAGATTAATAACTGATGTTATTTATTGTATTTTCACTATTATCAGACATGTTTGTGCTAACTATCGGTAAAGTTAAATGGAATAGATTATAAGACTCTTTAGTCCGTGGATGTAGAATAGGAAACGTCCACCCAAAGGGTTTTCAAATTAGGTAAGTCCGATGTTTGCCGATGGTTTCGCACCGACTTAAAAATCCCGAGGGAAGAAATTTCCTGGCTTACACCCCTGGTAATGAAAGAGTATTTTTCACGCATTCCAGTTACCAAAATTAGCTCAGAAATCAAAATCAAAAGCCGTTGCGTTTTTTCCGCAATGTTCCCATATTTGGGACGTCACATCTTTGTTATCCCATTGTGACGTCATGCGCGTGAAATGGGGTGCAAGATAGATTGTTACTATACAATTATGGTCTTCAGGTGAGGTCTATCCCTAAATAACGGACCTGGTCTAAACAATATTCACAGAGGCCGAAGGCCGAGGGGAATATTGTTCAGACCAGGTCCGTAAATCAGGGATAGACCGAAACTGAAGTCCACAATTGTTTTATTATATGACATTTTACAATAAGATTAATAATTTTTCATGTCATAAACACATGGATGGCATGGACCATTTTGGAAGCACAGAGTGAAGGACTTCAAATACAAAATAACATACACAAAAATTGAATTTCAGATTCAATTCATGTGATATTTAATTTCAAGTAAATATTATTTGGACAATTATTTGAACTGTAGTTGAATTCAGTAGTGTGAGTGGTAACTGATTTAAAGATTGTCTGGGAAATTACCTCGGACTATTTTTTGTAGCGGTCTTTAACACTTTTCTATATATTCATTATGTAGGTCGAGGTCTGTAACACTTTTCTATTTATAGAACGAGGCTTGTAACATATTTACAGACTCGTCACGTGACGTCGCTCCTCCAATCAAGGCTTGGAATTAGCACCAGTCATATAATAAATCTCTTTCTTACCCTGGAGAGATCTGTCATGCACGCATAGGAATGAGAAAAAAAAAAAGAAGATTAACATAGGAATAGTTTAATGTTTTCACTTATCCTAATTTACCTGTACAAAATTAATATAACTGTTATGCTTTAAAAGTGTATAAATGAAAATCGTGATTTAGGAGCTATGTTGATGGCTATCAAATGGAAAGAACTAGACAAAAAAGAAACCAGGTGTTTGACGCGTTGCATGGTGAACTCGGGGGATGTTTTGACCTGGCCCGATAAATGGCGAGGTAGCATGGTGGACAAACACAGTACAGGAGGCGTTGGAGACAAAATCAGCCTCGTTCTAGTGCCAATTCTTGCCTGTTGTGATGTGAAGGTAGGTAACTAGTTCTTTTTGCTTTCCGGTTTATCAACGCTGACTTTTATCCACTTTCTGGTTGATAAATTATGTTGTCTGTAAATGATGTGAGATTTACTGCTACCCACATATTGAATTGTTTTGTACATACCATACCATGTCGCTCACCACAGGTTCCTATGGTGTCCGGCAGGGGGCTCGATCACACTGGAGGGACCCTAGACAAGTTGGAAGCCATTCCAGGGGTCAGCGTGGAATTTGATATTGATAGCATTAAATCAATGGTGGAAGATATCGGATGCTGCATCGTCGGGCAAACAGAAAGTTTAGTCCCTGCCGATAAACAGTTATACGCAATTCGTGACGTCACTGATACAGTTGACAACAACAGTCTCATTGCATGTAGGTTTCAATCAATAGTCGTACTACAGTCCTATTGACATATCCGGTTATCTATAGTATCTCAGTAATAAAACGAGGAATTATAATGGTACCTTTTTCAATATAAATGCATTAGCTTTGACTCAACAATACAATTAAAAATTCTTAGCTAAGCCTGTATTAAAAACTTTCCAAGGTCAAGGGTCAATATCAAGCCTGTATTAAGCCTGCGTTAAAGCTAATTAAGCAAGAAAATGCCAGGTGCTATTGGTCATATTTCCTTTCGACAAACGAGACGAAACAAGAAGACACGCTTATGACATCAGATATATTTGTAGTTCGTTTTCTATTTAACATGAATAACAAAATTACTTCCCTTTGAGAACGGAAGCTGAAGTTATTTTTTCAACAATATCAAAAGCATGTTTCTTGGTTCCTGTGATTTTAGAATAGTAGAATTTAATTCCTTATAGGATAGTTATTACTAAGATTTGAAACTTTTATTTCAACTATATGAATTGGTGTATATGTTTTGTTAAAGCGTCTGTTGTGAGTAAGAAGGCATCAGAAAACGTCGATTTTCTCATTCTGGATGTGAAATGTGGGAAGGCAGCCGTAATTCAAGATGAAGCTGCCGCCGAGGTGCTCGGAAAGTTGATGGTATGTCTCACCAATAAACGTGTGTGTTTCAGGAAATTCAACATTAATTGTTATACATTATACATATTAAAGTGAATTAGGTGTATCACTGCTGAGTTGCCACATATTATGTAAAATGGCCAAATCGGTGCATAACTTCACTGCTCAAGGATACATTTTATAAAAAGTCAAAAACAGTCTTGTACAATTGAAAATAAGGAGACACAAATCAAAATGTCATGTAAACCAACAAAACATGAGACGACGAAAGGCTCTCAGCTAAAAGGCGAGGAAATATTTGGTGTTTGGCAAGGAGATGCACTTTAGTCCTTGCATTCCAAAACACAAGAAAATGTGTTTTCTAAGTAAAAAAAGGCATTGTGGGATAAGTATGAAACTTTCTCCAATAAAATATCATCATATAACTAATGTTTATTCCAAGTTGCATGCTTATCCCAAAAGGCCTTTTTATGTACAATCAACCCTTATTGTTGGAAATAGCAGAACAACCGGTAAAACAATGAAATGGGTTAGCTGTTAACAATGAAATGGGTAAGCTGTTACTTTTAAAACAGATACTTTCCTTGAGGCTTGGAGACTTTTAAGATAACCAGCAAATCAATGTTCATAAATTGAATTAATCATTTAAAAGTAGTTGTGGTGGCAAATGCCATTTTTTATTTGTAAGTTAACTTTGATAAGTAAGAAAACAAATCAGGACCTGGAACTCACTTCAGCAACAGGTGTTGGGCTAATAATATAAGATAGATATAGCATATACTATTAACTATTAATATCTTATACTTATAGCATATAAAAGGTGTCCTGCATCTTTTAATTCACTTAAGATTGAGACATATTTGAAATTGCCAAGTTTGAGATGTGTTCAGAAGCGATAACTCAGTATAAAACAAAAGGAAAATGTAGTGAATATGAATTTTATGTAGGTGTACTCAAATGATTAAACTTGTAAATTTCAACTCAAAATATAAATTAGAAAGGTATTAATGGGGGAAATAAAACACTTTTCGTTTGAAAAATACCTAAAACAGCCCCCTGACTTAATCCTCCGGTTTATATAAACAATCTTTAAGTGACGATTGAATTGCTGTTATTTTTTCATTTTGTCATGTATGCTTGTTCAGTTTATACATGCTTACAAAAACAGAAATGGTATGATCTGGGATTTTAAGCACATTAAGAAAACAACAAATCATATTTGTGATTTACCCTACCCCTTTTGGTACCAACAAGCACCCACTTTTGGTAAAACTTTTACCTTAGTTTTTGCACATGTAATACAATAGAACATATTTGAAAATTAAGGAGGTGAAAATCCGAATATACCGGGGCCCAAAAACGGGCCTTATAGACACTCATCCTTTCCAACACGTTTTAGAAGGCATGTACTCTACCTCAGTAGTCGGTACCAGGTCAATAATGTTCTTCCTGTGTCGATAATTTACCAGTTACAAAGAAAAAAATATCACATAGAGTCCATATGAGAGGAAAAAGTCGTCAGCGATATTATTTTAGCTGGTTGTATACATGTACATGAGATAAAGCTCAAATATTATTGTCTTGGCATGAACTATAAAACAAATGACTTCCAGTGGGTTGTGTCCAACAACTTCTGGTGAGTACAGACACGTCAGCTTGATTTTGGCTTCACAATAAACTAATCAGGTCCTATGATAATTTTGCTGTGGCATCAAAAATTATCTATCGTATAGTTAAAAAATATCTCTCACAAATGCAACGTAGGTAGCATTAACCGTTATTGCCTTTACATTCCCTAAACTATTTCTAGGTTGACATTTCAAACGATATTGGCATGCGCACGATGGCACTACTCACCCGGATGGACCATCCTATTGGATTGGCAATTGGTAACTCTCTAGAAGTGGTGGAATCCCTCAGATGTCTACGGTGGAACTGCCCTGTATGTAGTGACTCAAAAAAGTGTTTACACTGCAGAGGATGTCACGATATCTTAGCGCTGGTGTACGAACTGGGTGTGTTTCGTTATTTACCGGTAACATTGTCACTAGTGTATCAGCTTTTCATCTGTTGTATTCATTAGGATTATATTGCTGTCCCTACAACACCCACGTGATGTAGTGATATACGATACGGTTTTACTTTTGCTTAACGTAGCATGTGTTGTTGTTCATTTAAATATGTCAGTAACTTTTTATATAAACGTTTACATTTATTGGAGGAACCTTTTCAATCTTTGTTCTACAAAAAATAATGTTTCAGTTACAAGCATTTTGCTACTTACTCACAGTCGTATTGGTTTCTAGAGGATAATATATTAGAACTCGTATTTGTTGTGTCCGAAGGTCGTATGTGAGTTCCGATCTTGCAAAAGTTACACTAATAATCAAGAAAGCTTAAAGTATTGAAATTATATTACACTGTACCTCGTGATTATATTGAAAATATATTTGCAGCAAGACACGACTACTTTTAATCACCCCGGACACATGTTAAGCATTTATTGAAATGTATAAAGAATCACTTCAGGAGAGTATGGTCTAAATCCACAAACAACCTGTTTTGCCATTAATCTTAATTATAAATGTAATTACTTAAACCTTTAGTCCGTCTGCTTGGGGTGCAGCAAAATCTTGAGTATAAATTCGGATCGACCAATTTACGTTATATTAGTTAATATTTCAAACTACTTTTCCATAAAATGATCGATAGATGATGTAATAACTTAAATCCAAGCTCCTATGGCCCGCCGCTCAGCCCTTTTTGCATTCAGTGTAGATCCTGGCCATCGTCATAATGGGATCGTTGTTAAAACTCTTGCTATTCAATTGGGAAATAGCGGAATTTTAGTATATTAATTGTGCAATGAATATAGGGGAACTTCAATTTTAGGACTTTAAAAAGCCATTTTTCAGGCGTACATAATAAATCACAGGTCTCTCCTTCATCCCTGAGCAGGTGGCTGTCTCGACCTAGATCCACTACTTGGATACACTTATGAACTTCTGTAACACCCTGTAGGGCTTCGGATATATTGTGTATGTAAACAAAATAGCCAAAGAGAACATTTCACGAAAGGCGTGTGTAAAAATATGCATACGTGCCATAAGCAAGAATATGTTATAATTTCACAGGAGGGCGTTTACTGTGCAGCGCAGGTAAAACACAAACCTTGGTAGAGTCCCGTTGCTTGATGGAGGAAAAAATTAGGAACGGGGAAGCCATGAACTGCTTCAAGAAACTGATTGTCGCACAGGGTGCCAAGCAGGAGGTGGCTGAATGCCTATGTGATCCTAAAACAGACTTTTGGGCAGGACTTCCTAAAGCATTGCATAGCAAAGGGCTAAAAGTGGAACAAGATGGTGTGGAAAAGAATAAAGACTAGAGATAATTGTTCTTCTTCAGCCGCTTTCTTTGATCTTTACCTTCATTTTACAACCAACATTGATGGCTTACTACTAAGCCGTATGATAAGTGGGACGAATTCGATTTTCATATAGTGAACTTTCCCTTTCCTGATAATAACAACCTTACATCCCGAACGTACGATGTTTACTTATCGCTAAAGATTCGATATTCAAGAGCTTGCTCTGAGAAGAAAAAAACGTCAGTTATGATGTACAGAGGCTGTTTCAGGACATGAACATATCATTTTTATATCGATCCCAATATTTAGCATTTCGTTTCCGTCCTCACTGTACCAAGTATCACCGGGCCAATCTTTAAAATGATGCAAATAACTATTACAATACTCATTGTCTAATTTCCAATCATTTCGCTTAATCATTTGATTTTAGGAGTTAACCTTGTCAACTTCACATTATTTCTTCTGAACACGGGATTATTTGAAATACTTAATGAGTGAATAACCATCAAAGTAGTACAATTGAATTAGCACTTTAAAGATCCAATGTCCGGGATCTTCATATATTTGCTATCTGAACTTTTCATATTTTTATCGGAATAGTTTATTGCGGATAAACAGCTCGAAGTAGGGTTTAGACAAGTGACTGATCCGCACAAATTGCAAACATAAAAGGATGTTAAATATCTACTGTTGTACTTAGTCATCATAATGAGATAAAATAATGTAATGATGGGGCGGACATCTACAATGATTGCATATACAGATTGTGTATAAGTTTTAACTTGATAATCTACAGGGTATGTTCACGATATCGATGCATTCAAGTGTGGCAAAGCCTCCTGGAATCTTGGTGCCGGCAGAAACAAGCAAGTTTGTGACATCAAAATGGGAGTTGGTTTAGAACTCCAAGTCTGCCTAGGTGACCGAATCAGAAAAGGTAAGGTGGTGTATTTTTTTCCCAAAATCCTATATTTGCATCTTCCGGGTGTTTTTTAAGAAGAATTTGGAGAATCCGATTTTTTATGCCGTATGTTAACCAATTTAGGGGATAACAAACTGTTACTCTTAGCATCCCTGCGTAAACAAACTGTATACAGTTACCGAATTGTACATAAACTGTTTATTTACTAATATATACACAAATATTGCAATCAGGAGGTATTCAGTTATCTGTTATAGTTAGGTTGAATATCAATTATCATATACAATGACATTCATGTATGCTGTGTTTAGTCGACAGATAATTGTTGCCTGGTAAACACCTTCCTTACTCTTTCCTTGCAACTTAAATCACATACATATACACGCGTACAATCATACAAGAATATGTACTTACTTCTGACAACTACTAATGAAGTGTTATTGGTCTATACGGACATTTCTGATACAGACTGTAGATAAGCTTTAGGAATTTATGCGATATAGACTATAAGAGAGACCCGTTCTGTATTCTTACAAGATGGCTTCCAGCAGCTAACAAGCACAGTGTGTACAGGTCTGTGAATAAACCCCAATGGGGTGTCTTTCTAGTTGTCATGTTATGTCAACATGCTAACAAATATTAGAGCATCCGAGTCGTGTCGCAAGAAATAATTTGTAAGATAGATAGTAATAGTTAAAGACCCTATTCAAAATATGTTTTTTGTTAATTTTTCAACTTTGAAGTGTTGAAAAGGCCTTATATAGCCTTTGACCTGTTATGTTAATTCCATTTGTCTTCGTTTTCGCTTTTTTGTAGTATAATCGGCTGTATTCGGCAGTTTCGAACTGCAGATGCATGCAAGATTTTGGTGCATTCACTTGTTACCTCTCGGTTGGATTATGGTAGCGCCCTGCTCTGTGGTATATCTGACAAACTAACTAGTCGTCTGCAGATGGTCCAGAACACTGCAGCACGGCTAGTTACTCGTACTCGAAAGAGAGAGAGCACATCACACCTGCGCTTTATTCGTTTCACTGGTTACCTGTACGATACAGGTCGCAGTACAAAATTCTGGTATACACATACAAGACACTGAATGGAACAGCTCCTCAGTACCTACAGGAGCTTGTTACCCTGTATCAGCCGTCAAGATCACTGCGGTCGGAGTCAGAATCTTTGTTGTGTGTCCCAAAATCTCGTACTGTGACCTACGGAAACAGATGCTTTGGGAGGGTTTCAGCTACGTTGTGGAATAGCTTACCGTCTGCTATGAGGAAGTCAAATACCCTGGCCAAGTTCAAGAGGGACATAAAAACTCACCTCTTCACGTCTGCATTTTAGAATCTTTGCAAAGACGTCATTGCAAGCCTTTGTTGTTTGTTTTCACAATTATAACCATTTCTATTATCCATATGTTGTAAAGCGCCTTAGAGTAATTCTACAAATTATATAGGGCGCTATATAAATGTTGTATATTATTATTATTATTATTATTATTATATAAATAGTGACGAAAAAATATACCTCATGTACCATGAACATCACGATTTACATCATCACTTCACAATCTCATTACCACTTCACATTCTCATTACCACTTCACTATCATCAACAGCATCTTCATCGTTATCCTCATATCCTTACAATCATCATCTTCACCATCATGATATTCTGGGTGTCTAGATGAATCACATTTACATTTAATCGTGTATTAAATATGTCTTCTGTAATGTTGCCCATGGTACACAATTGTGAAATACATCAAAATAAATATCACACACGTATAAAATGTCATTCATCAAGACACATAGAATTTCTGATATTTCTTGTCGACGATGGAGAGAAATTCAATTTTAACAGATATCATTGACTTTGTATATATCAATTGGATAGGAAATCAGTATAGGGTTTTTTAGTTCTTTCTAAACTTATTTACAAACGTTACTGAAACAGTGTGTGGGAGATAACTCTAATTTAGTTTGTGAAATAATGTGTTTGGTAACTACCCCCTGACTCTGTGCATTCAAGTAGAATCTTTTCATCCAACAGATTGACTTCAAATTGAAGTATTTACCGGGGTATAATTTATTCATTTATTTTTTCATTTCAACCCTTTTTAATGGAGGACAGATATTCCCTTTATGATTATTAGTAAGCCTCTAGATAACAGTTCTAGTTTAAGGTAACTAAATAAATGCATATACTGTTATTACATTGTATATCTGGAATATACTTACAACTTTGCAGGTGACGTATGGGTGACTGTTTACTACGACTCGGATACTGTTCCCGTGGAGGTAGAGGCAATGTTAAACCAAGCCTTGGTTGTGAAGGACCAGGAACTGACCCATACCAACGGTTCACGTGTCGTCAAGGTCATTACGTAAACCGATCAGACAGCAATTACGTCATCATCCAACTACTTATAAAGTATTTGATGAAGATCATATTCCAAGAATTAACAATGAAAGATCGAGACTTTAACCAAAAAATGAACAAATATTTTAGATTAGAACCGTAATATTTGCATGATTTAAGCGAGATAATATCATCATATATATATCAACTATATATGTATATCTGCATACCATATATATATGTAAACTCATTTATTTTTCAACAATTTAGGTTTTCTTACATACATTAATATATTTCGTTGGCCCTGATGGTAGCGTGCAGAGGGTCTTAAAGGAGGAAACCGAAGTACCCATAGAAACCCCACAAGGTCGGGCTGATAACATAATACATTTTCACGTCCGATCTGGGAATCGAACCCCGGCTGTCTGGGTGAAAGGCGAGTGTGATATACACAGCGCCACCCGACTACTAATATGGACAATTATTTGCCCTGATATGAACCAAAAACCTACCTGATATAAACAGAAACCGGCTGAAATGAGTTAGGGACTTATCTGATATGAACCATAAGTGTTACTCATTCCAGGTCTTTTTTTAATAAGAAACAAATGGAAAAGATGCCAATAGCAGATTTTTATGTTTTTAGAGAAACTGGTTTTCTCTTTTAAAAATTCGAGGTACTATAGTTAATATGTTATCCTATGTAAAAAAAGAAAACGTTAATGGAAAAACTGCAAGATTATCTGTAACAAACACACTAAATGTTCCAAATATCCGAACTAGTTATGTTATCTTAAGCGATGATTTAAATATACTTGTTCAGTGCTCTGGACGGAAGCATATAATCCAGATAAAGACTCATGTAGTGCTTAGATCGTTGAAAGCATTTACTTTACCAAATCCTACCTTTATTTTTTCCTATATGTATTTCAATGGGTCATAAGTTTTAAACTCAAAACATTGTTTAACCTCATCTTATGGTTAGTGTATATGTGATTATTCCCCTTTTATTCATACCATATGTTATTGTTGTATCGCAATAGTAGCTCACCAGAACTATCTTTTCTTGTTTACATTTATGCGACCCTGATTATGATTTTTACATCTTCATGTTTTAACCATTGATATACTGTTTACTTGGAAATGTTCGCTGTTGTTTAATTTTCGCCTTTTATGCCTTCCACCATGAGGGTGAATTTATCATGATAACGAATATGAGTTCACAACATCAACATACGTTATAAATATATTACGGGTGGAAGCGAAATTAACACTGGGCGAATATTTATTTAACCTGTGCAGGGGCAAACATTTCCTTGTATACAGTATTTGCATTGTAACAATATTCATTGTAATTAATAATGATGTTTGTGCTTTAACCATACCCTTTAATAACACTTGTTGATTACTGGAACAAACTAGATGATATTTTGACCAGAGCTACTGATACTTCAATGGATGTGGTACTCACCGGTGACATTAATATCGATATGTTAACCCTTCTGCCTAATCATCACCATTTCAAGACTCCTTACTAAGCATAATGTATCAAGCCTTATTAACGAACCTACACGTATAACGCAGGAGAGTGCCACTTCCATTGATGTTATCTTTACAAACAACCGAAACATAATTAGAAATACTTATACATCACCACCCTTCTGTAGTGATCATTCCTCTGTGCATGCATCAATTTTATTTAGTGTATTCAAACAAGCAAGTTATAAGAAAAATATTTTAAAATATGAAGAAGGTGATTTTGAAAGTATGAATAACACTCTTCTTGATGTTGACTGGTTGAATCTATCTTCAAACCAGGACTCTAATACATTTAACAGTATCATAACTGATTTAATCATGGATCTGGTAAATGTCTTCATTCCTGCTAAAGTAATAACAATACGTCCTAATGATAAACCATGGATGAACAACAACATAAGATTAAAGATGAGACAGCGCAATAGTATTCACAGAAAGGCCAAATTGACAAATAGTCCTCACTTTTGGAATAGATTTCGGATTCTCAGGAATGAAGCCATTGACCTGATCCGTGAAGCTAAGTCAAGATATATCAAAACCCTAGAAGACTCTTTAAATGACATTAAGATTCCCCCAGATAAATGGTGGAAAATTGCTAAATTTATCTCTAACTTCACCAATAAATCTTCTCCAATTCCTACTCTTGTAATTAATAACCGAGCTGTTCACCATCCCATTGATAAAGCTGAGGTCCTCAATAATCACTTAATTAATATCTTCACATCCTCACCTGACCTCCAACTACCTCAGACAGCACAACCAGCAATTCCTTATTCACTATCTAATATTAATATTACTGAACAAGATGTTGCTGACCAAATTAATATACTTAATATAAATAAGCCCCCTGGACCTGATGGAATTGTTCCCAAAATTATTAAAAGATTGAATTCCTCTCTTAAATTACCCCCTCATGATCTTATTTAATAAAACACTAGAAACAGGAGTGATTCCCAATAGCTGGAAACAAGCAAATATAAATGCAGTTTATAAGGGTAATGGATGACCTAAAAATGATGTTTTAAACTACAGACCTATTTCAGTAACTTCATGCTTTAGTAAAATAATGGAAAAAATTGTGTTTAAATATCTTTATAACTACCTGTTGGAGAATTCTATAATCACTAAGCACCAATCTGGATTTACACCTGGTGATTCAACAGTTAATCAACTCTTGTTTATATATCATGAAATTGTTAGTAATATGGACCAGGGAAAAGAACTTCGATTTATTTTCTGTGAGCAAAGCATTTGATAGGGTTTGGCATAAAGGTCTAATTCATAAAATTAGGACATATGGTATTGATGGCAATTTGCTTCTCTGGTTTGAAAATTATTTAACAGACAGAATGCAAAGAGTTAGCACTGAAGGATATCACTCTCAGTTTAGGACTATAAATGCAGGGGTACCTCAGGGATCTATTTTGGGACCACTCCTGTTTCTTCTTTATATCAATGATATAACCGACAATGTTTCTACTAATATTAAACTTTTTGCAGATGACACTTCTCTGTATGTAATCATAGACAAAAATCCAGTTCAGGGAGCCCAGGATCTTTCGAATGACCTTGTAAACATTAGTGAGTGGGCATATATATGGGATATACATTTTAACTCAAATAAAACAAAGTCATTTGTATTTTCTAGAAAACATAACCACGTACAACCCCCAATATCCTTTCAAAACAATCAAATCACTGATTCAAAAACACATAAACACTTATGACTAACTTTTACAGACGATGCATCATGGAAACAGCACATACAGATTATATATGAAAAAGCATACAACAGATTAAATATTCATCGTTATATCAAATCTAAGGTAGGTCGTAAATCATTAATTAAAATATATATTGCATTTATTAGACCAATTTTTGGAGTATGCAGACATTGTATGGGATAATTGCACTTTAAAACTTATTGAATTACCTGAATCTGTACAACTAGAAGCAGCTAGGATTATAACTGGTCTTCGTTCAGGGACATCACACAATAAACTCTATAATGAACTTGGTTGGGAAACACTGTCTGCAAGACGGTATAAACATAAACAAATAATGATGTATAAGATAATGCATGAACTCTCACTTCAATACTTGCAAAATGTCACAAATCCTTTTATTAACAATCATAATAACAATCCCTACTCTCTTAGACAAACCAGACTCTTTAACCCAGAACTAATAACTATTTTGACAGTTTTTTCCCCTTTATGTGCCGCAATGTCAACACTATGGATACTGATATGTTGAACTCTCTATCTCTTGCTCTGTTTAAAAAAGTACAAAATAAAGATAAAGTTAATGACAGAGAAGTAACTTCAATTTTTAAAAACAACGGTGAAAGATGGGTTAATATTATTCTTTGCCAATTAAGAAATTCCTGTAGTAATTTAAATTCTGATTTATATCGTGACCATTTATTAGATAGTCCAACTTGTGCTTGTTCTTTTGAACACGAAACAGCCTCTCATTATTTCTTCAATTGTCCACTGTATATCGAACAACGAAATACTTTGTTTACTTCTTTGAATAATATTAGTAATCATTACCATATGGATTTAAATATATTTTTCCAAGGTTGTCCTACATGTGATCAGTTTTAAAACTAAAACTGTTGACAGAATAGCAGAATCATGCCCCTGCTTGCTCCAAACTTAAAAAGACCATTACACCTACTTGAAATGCTTTCTTCCTGAAGTTTAAATGTGTGTAATAACTACATGTATGCTCAGCTCTTCACACATGTTTCCTTTCTAGACCCATTCCGAGCGTTCAATTCTATGAAGGCTTGAAACCCTATTTGTTTTGAATTTGTGATAAGCATGGTTGAAGAGTTGTGAAAATGTTCAATATTGAGTGATTTTACATACGATGCGCTTATCAATTACCTAGCAAACAACAACTGTTAATAACCTGGATCAAGAGCCATTTATTTAGTGGATAGACCGGTTAGTCTCTTTCAACAGTACAAGTCTAAGCTCGGGGAAAAAATCCAAACAGACCTTCAAATGTTCATGAAGGCGTTGAAATCCTCGACAATGCCTTCAAAATAAACAGCAAATCACACCACTATCCCGTCACAGTTAAACAAGTTGTACCAGTAAAACCGTTTGGAACATGGTTCAAGAAAGCTGCCCAAAACGTCATCGTAATGTCGCTTCCCATTAGAGATTGTTTGAGCGCTTAAATTTTAGCGGAAAATAAATTAACTATGCATGTTTTAAAGACTTTTAAAATTTGGCCACCGCTAAGGATTTGACGAGCACACGTCTGGATGATATGTCGAAAGTAATAATATTCCTTTCTGCATCCAGAACAGTTGGAATTTTTAAATATTTTTTTCGAATATATATATATATATATACATAAATGTTTAATAACCTTGTATGAACAAGAAACATACATCACAAGAACATGAAACCTATATGTCATGAACATAAAACAAAAAACAAATGAAAAATTAAAACGTAATATTTGCATGATATGAACGAGATATTTTATGAAATATTCCAAGGAAATACCAAAGCTTGAGCTTACGACATAGTTTTAGTATTAATCTTATATTGATAAAATATTAACCTGGCATGAAAGAGATAGAATGTAAAAGAATATTACCGAATTGTATAACTTTTAATGGTTACACTTTATTTAAAAGGCGTTTACAAACATTTTCTTTATGGTGCGTGAAAGAATATGCTCGTTGCTACCTGCGTTCATGATACCGTATACGACGTGAAAATGAAGGTCAATCCTTATATTTACATCCAAATCATGTTTAAACGCTATACGAAGGAAAAACAGTCGGCGCGGGTTGCTACCGTTGTAACTACAGTAGCCGTGGTTGCGGTAAGTCTACATCGATATATGAGTAAACTTCGGAAACAACACAATGAACAATACTATTCTTCTTTTCTTACTATTTTAACGAATAACATATATATTAGGAATTTCATTGGCATATAAAAAATGAGTCCTCGTCGATGAGTCTGATAACAACTTTTTTCTATATGGTGTTAAAGGATTTTTCGTGTAATACTACACATTTTCAGTTCTAGTTACTTCCCTTGCATTGTGCTCCTATTCAAATGACTGTGAAATTGAAATGTTGATGATATTTACACAAATTGATTCTTTCCGGTCATAACTTCTATATATAATATCTAAAGGATATCGACTCCTGAGGTTGAAATCACGTTCAATTCTCGTTTTGATCTAGTATAACAGGATTTTATTATAATTTTACAATTTCTTATCATTTCAGAAAGCACACTTACACCTGAAATTGTGTCGAAAAAAATAGGAACCTAGTGCTAACGGAACTGTTTTTACAAATTAAAAAAGTAACAATTTGGCGGCCATTTTGAAAATGTGAATTTCTAACGCTCCACGCAACGTCAACATTTTACGTATTTTAACAATTAATTAATCTTCAAAGTTGTTATTGCGTTTCCGTTTTTTATTTGTAGCACGTTGTTCTTTGCTGTACAAATTGGTAATGTTCAATATTATGAAAACAAGATGTCACAAAGTGGTTAAATACATTTGTAATGTCACAGAGGATTATTGACATTACTTTATTGAATGTAACTATTTGAGTATATATTGGGCACGAATAACAAAACTATTTAAAGGTGTTGGATAAACAGTAAATATGCAAAATCTAAAAAACATTGTAGTTGGTTACAAAATTAACTGCAAAAGTTACACAGAGGTCAATATTTTACTTACTATAATTGGATACACCATTTATAAAGTTTATCATATTAGCGAACAGAAACAGAAAGGAAATAATTTGTTATCCCAATTTAAGTATGAATTAAAAATGTTACATACCAAATATAAGAATAATAGGAAAAGTGCAATCAATTATTTCATCGAAAACATATGAATTTATATATAGAGTGATAGATGTATCAAGAGGAAGAGTACAATCAAGTATTTCATGGAAAAAATATGAACTTATATATAATGTATATGGTATAAATGAATGAATAGTTGGATATGTGAATGGATAGATTTATAGATGAATGGAATGAAAGATGTAGATGAACAAATGGACAAAGTAATGAGTAAATGTAACATGTACTTAAAATTATGAATAGATAAATAAAAAAAAGACAACAAGCATTATGATGAACATTTCAATCAAGACAGCTCATTACAATGACCAACACAGTGGGTGTTTTTTTTAAATGTATAACTTTTTATAATCTATCTAAAACTAAATATAATGGTATATTTATTTTAGTTATCTTTTATTTCGATCTCTTTACATAATTAATTATTATTGTTGTATTCAAATATTGGATATATTATTTAAATGAAACATGTCAAAACATATTTTTTATTTCTTTATTTGCAATATATTATTATATTATTTCATTAATAACCTATGTGATTTAAAACATACTTCACATTAATATCATTGTATGTATTGGAAAACATAATTAAGTATAAAGAAAATGAATACCAAAATATATCATGTTCTCGTAATACATAATATGATATAAAGTATATAGAATAAAAATAAAAACAAAACAAAAATATTAAGAAAAAAAAAATTATGGAAAATATATATTCATAATTGTATTTATATTATTATTATTTACTTGGCAATAGCAATCATAAACAAATAATAATGAAAACGCACACTGTTACGGTATTGTTATTGATGATGCTGAATGATTAACACTGACTGCAAAAAAAAAGAAGAAAAAAAGTGGTTAAATACTCAATGTTGGTTTTTAGTACTCTTTGATTTCCAATGAAGCCGTGTTTTTTTGCAAAAGTCGACAAGTCACACAAAAATCAGTCAGACAAAATAAAAAGCACAGTTGCCCAACCCCGAACTAGCAGGCTTGCAGCGAGGCGTTCCGCTATCGCTCTTTTGGTGTACACTTGCCAAATTCACAGCGGTTTTCAACACCTTGAAATAAGTTAAATCTGTCAAATTCTTCCAATGATTATATCAATTTATGAATCGTTATTAGATACTATTTCCTTTTTCACAAATGACCGTTTATTTTCTCAATTTTGTTGTATATTATTTTAACGTATTTTTATGAGTGTGTAATAGATAATATCTTGTATGCATAAGAAACTTTTTGGAACATGTTAACGATCTTAAAACAAGAGTGAGCGTATGATCTGGTAATTATACATACTGTACCTTATGTGACGTGTTGAAATTCCAACTTTTTATTTTGACCCGGATTCCGGAAGATACAGGCCGGGATAACACCTCACTGTTACAAAAAGTCATAGTTCATTTGCTCTGCCAGCTAATTATCAACAATATCTCCATAAAATAGATACAACATGCTTACTTCGACAACTTTTTATTATAAATACCGAAAATTAGAGATAGCTCACTCATAATGACAAATCTAATGCAACAGTTAAGCTATAATTGAGATGAACATTTAACATGTCTACATTTAGAGGGTGGATGTTTAATAAATTACGAAGATGTATAACTTCCAGGGCCGACAAGAATTACCAAATACATACAATTCAGGACTTTCGCTAACGGTCTTCGCAGATCCTATATGTAAAGACAGACATTTGACATTATGACTTTAGCTAAAATGAATACGAAATTTTTGCCTTTCTAGATATTAGGACAGTATGTATGACACGTGACGTTAATATGCACTATCCGATTAAAGATCATCGATCTAAACAAAGGTACTCTGTGTGTGTATTTTGTCATTTGGACAAGTTTGTTTCGAATTTACGCCATTTGAAGAAATACTGGTGCTACTGTATTAACGTATGTATACAGTGTTACATGTCAATCATAAAAATACAATGCATTGTTCATACAATGTAAACCGGAAGATGTATTACAGTCATCAAAACTATTTTGTTAAAGTTATAACCGGAAATGTTTTGTTATACAGTCAATATGAACGGAAGTTTTTTTGTTACCAGAACCGTAAGGTTTTCTTTCCTAATCACAACAACCTAAAATCTGGTTTGTATAAGTCTGTTATCATAAGATCGCTTGTTAAACAGTCATCACAACTTTAAAACTGCATGGCATATCTTGCAATAAACTAAAGTTGACTTGTTTTAAACCGGAAGTTGGTTTGTTATAATAGTCAGAACATCTGAAAAACCAATTGGTATTCAGTTAATACAATAGGGAGTCGCGTGATACACTAGAGACAACCCCATACATACCAGTAGTATCGTCCGCCATGATGTCGTGAAATTAGCATATTAGTTTGAAATGTCACTGTTTCACTTAATTATATATTATATAAAAATGTAATTCTTTGTACTACTACATACATGTCGACCCTTGTATAGGCAGTGTATAAAGAATATAAACATACAACCATTATTGATGAGGTTTGCAAATTATGACAATGTATACATGGGCGCTTTGATGATGAGTTGCCCTCTGAAATAAATAGTCGAAGGTTTTTCATTGCCTTCATATTTCTGCATTGTACAGTACAGACAAAAGGTGAACACGCGGCAATACAGATCGAGAAACTTTATTTGGTAGGCACCCTCTACCGTTATCTGTCAATTCATAATACCCCGATACCTGTTGTTGGCGGGAGTCGTTCACCTTTAATTAACTAACACCTGACGTTCCTGTATTTTGATACCAAAGGAAAGTAGACACTGATATGTTTGTGCGTCCCGTCAGATCCCACTACATAGGTCAATTGGACAGTGAAGGTAGACATTCCTTTGAAGATTAAATCAAAGTAAATTGATCGGGAAAACTTCATTAATAATGTTAGCCTAGCATATTTGTTTGTTCACCTGCAAAGTTGGCACGACCTCGAACACAGGTAAGATACACCTGACCTCGTCCGTGGGGCGTGATGTCACTCAAACCAGTCGGGTCAAGGAATGGTCACATTTGTATCGATATTGTTCTCAGCGATGTAATTTTATATTATTTATTTGAAACACTCAAATTTCTAAAAGTGTACACTAAATATTAAAGAATGCATTTCTCATTCGGAGCAAAAGCATTTAAAAAAAATTAATCACGTTTTGTTTTCTGTAGGTAGACCTTGACGTAAGCTGTACCCTAATACAGATTAACCACATCACTGATGCGTTCACATTTCAAATTTCTTCATAACTTTGTTAATTTCTTGATCCGTCGTCAAAACATTTTGAATTGATAGCTGTTCCACAAATGTACATAAAGGGACTATTTCCAGCGTTGTTAAAACTTTAGTTTCACAAGTTCTACGATATTTAAATGGTTGTATTTATTTTTAATCCTAGATACATCTGGA